ATCAGGCCACCGTAATAGTCAGCTAAATAGGTAGAAAACTAACTGTACAAAGGGAGGCATATAGTTTTCTGCCTGTTTAGCTCTCAAACTGGCTCAGTTTGGGTCAGATCAGTTGAAGAAGTGAAGGGGAGTGGCTGAGATTGGAAAGGGAAGGAAAGGATCCACTGTTTTCACCAGCAGCTGGCTGTTAATTAATTGGTTTATCTTAGTAGTAAAGCTGAAGGGCACAAGCTGGGTGGAGAAATGCTCCTTTCTGCATATTGTACCTGTCCTTGTACAGCAGAAGTACTTGGGGACAAGCTATAAGGTAATCAGAGTTAAAGTAAGAGAGGTTATTTGTAACCTGAATCAGGTTTCCCAATCCAGTGAGCTGTGCACCTATGGTGATGCTGTTCTGGCAGACCAAAGAGGTTGTGCAGGGTCAATTTGTGACCAGGACTGGCCGCCTTTTGTTGAAGTACTTATTGACTCATGCTGGCTTAGTGGTCTCTAGGAAATAGATAACGTCAGGGTGAATCCTCAGAGCTGGGTGAGGGCAGCATCCTAGGGTGAGCTGCATTCCTTCGTTCTCAGAGAGCAGTGAATGGAATTTGGCTTAATGTTTGTCAGGTTCAATTTTGTACAGAGTCATTTGGATCTGTAATGGCAATGAACCTTTAGGATATTAGTCAGCTGCTACGATCTTTCATCTATGATTTTGGGATTGTACCTCACCTCTATGCCCTGCAAGATCATGGAGCAGATCCTCCTGGAAACTATGCTAAGGCACATGAAAAAAAAGGAGCTGACTGGTGACAGCCAGCATGGCTTCACTAAGGGCGAATCGTGCCTGACAAATTTGATGGCCTTCTACAACAGGGTTACAACATTGGTGGATAAGGGAAGAGCAACCGATGTCATCTACCTGGACTTGGATGGAGCCATTTGACCTGTCCTCCATGTCTAAATTGGAGAGACATGGATGTAACAGATGGACCACTTGGTGGATAAGCAATTGGCTGGATGGTCGCACTCAAAAGAGTTGTGGTCACCGGCTCGATGTCCAAGTGGAGGCCAGTGACGAGTGATGTTCCTCAGGGGTTGGTGTTGGGACCGGTGTGGTTTAACATCTTTGCTGGTGACATGGACAGTGGGATCGAGTGAGAGAGGAGGAATTTCTTGGGGATCCAGATCAATTGTTCTCTATGAGGGGATTGGTGGTAGGATAAAGGCTTGTTCAAAAGAGTAGAAATGGATGAGCTGGGCTTACGGACCACTTACTAGGGTGAGTTAATACAGTGCACAAGTTCATACTGTCAACAGTTGCTTTTTGGATAGTTCTGTGTCTGATGCAAGAATGTATAATTTGGAAAATAACTCTGATTTTCAGTTGGGAAGCAGCAGCTTCTGATAGTCTGTGAAATTTTTGTTTCCTATCAGATTTTCTTCTTCTTTGCCTTTAGAGGAAGAGCAATAAAAATCAATAACAGAGTAATTCTGCACTGCACAAAGAGAAAAGGAGGCTATCATATTTCATATGGAAAATCCTATTAAAGAGACACCAAAGGGAAAATCCAAATGGTTCATGTTTAGTGAAGAGAAAAATGAGCAGAAACGATCAGACAGTGGTTTTATGTCTTTCTTTTTCAAATTGAAGGTTCTATACCAATATGCTGCAGCTACATGCAGTTCTCTGGGATAATTCTTCAGCCCCAGCCTGCTGCTCCTGACCATCCTTTTTCCACTCAAAGCAGGATGTGCATCAATATAATTGCTTTTGTGGCTGCAAGAGATTCCTCTTGACTATCCTCTTTCTATGTCTTTCTGTCTCTTTCTAGGGTTTTATAAGATTTTCAGTGAACAAACGTGGTCTATTATGCAAGCAACAAGCTGTGGGCTTTTGTGGGAAGTCAAACCTCCAGAATGAACGTTTGTCTGCAGTGAATCTAATATGTGGTAATGGCCATGATGAGACCAGGCCATACAGCTCTGCCCATCTATGGAAGTAAACTGTGTGTCCCACTACAAGAAAAGCTGGACACTATTGGTGTAAGGTGACATGGACAGTGGGATCGAATGCACCCTCAGCAAATTTGCCGATGACACCAAGCCGTGTGGTGTGGTCGACATGCTGGAGGGAAGGGATGCCATCCAGAGGGACCTTGACAGGCTTTAGAAGTGGGCCCGTGTGAACCTTATGAAGTTCAACAAGGCCAAGTGCAAAGTCCTGCACATGGGTCTGGACAATCTCAAACACAAGTACAAGCTGGATGGAGAATGGATTGAGAGCAGCCCAGAGGAGAATGACTTGTTCATTGATGGGAGGCTTAACGTGAGCCCAGGCGGCCAACCGTATCCTGCACTGCGTGGCCAGCAGGTCGAGGGAGGTGATTCTGCCCCTCTACTCTGCTCTCTTGAGACCTCACCTGGAGTACTGTGTTCAGCTCTGGAGTCCCCAACTTAAGAAGGACATGGACCTGTTGGATCAGGTCCAGAGGAGCACCACGAAGATGGTCCAAGGACTGGAGCACCTCTCCTATGAAGGCAGGCTGAGAGAGTTGGGATTGTTCGGCCCGGGGAAGAGAAGGCTCCAGGGAGACCTTCCAGCAACCTTCTTGTACCTAAAAGGGGCCTATACGAAAGCTGGAGAGAGACTTTTTACAAGGGCGTGTAGTGAAAGGACAAGGGGCAATGGCTTTAAACTGAAAGAGGGGAGATTTAGATTAGATTAAAGGAAGGACTTCTTCACTCTGAGGGTGATGAGGCACTGGAACAGGTTGCCCAGAGAAGTTGTGGATCCCCCATCCCTGGAAGTGTTAAAGGCCAGGTTGGATGGAGCTTTGAGGAGCCTGGTGTAGTGGAAGGTGTCCCTGTCCGTGGCAGGGGGATTGAAACATGATGATCTTCAAGGTCCCTTCCAATCCAAACGATTCTATGATTCTATGAAATTCAGAAGACCCAGATTCCAAAGTATTGAAAATTTCTGTGGTTCTTCGGTAGATTGCATGATGTATGCCTCTCATTTATTTGTCAGATACCTCCTTTTTCTACTCTTCATCTGTCTAGTTTATTTAGATGTTAAAACCATTATATTCTTGATTGTCTAGACAACAGCTTGTATGATACAACCTTGATGTCAGCCTGTAAGCACTGCTACAACATAAATAGATAATCTATGGTGAGAAAAAATGGTAATAATATGCAAGAAGAGGAAAAATCCCAGTAAAAATTAAGTGTAATAACAAGACAGCAAATATTATCTACCCATGTGCTGGGAAAATAAGGTTTCCGTATGTTAGGTAAAGTACTTTTCTTGTTAATATCTGAAATTCTGAAGATGTCCTCATATAATGCCTAAGGGTTCATGCTGAGAAAATGGTAGAGCTGGTTTTGTTTTGTTTTGTTTTTCTCTTAAAGTTTTATTAGTTGATTCTGTAAGTAAATATTTGTTACTTTTGCTGCAATGATATAATTCTATCAATCTGTTTTCAAGGACATGAATTTTTAGCCATCTGATAATAGTGACGCACAATGCCTGATCAGGACAAAGAGTTGAAGAGTGCAGAAAAGGCAGCAGACAAAAAACCTCATGGGATCTCGATGAGGTATAGTATCTGACGTCTTACTTTGAACTGGAATTTGCACTAGCTGCCAAGGCAGAATGCTTTAATTTCAAAAGCAGTATAAACATGACAACTGTTACTCTGGTCACAAAGTTTATTTACACCTTTGTTGATTTAAGGCATTCTGGAGAAGCTATAAATTCTTCTCTGTGCAAAACGGGGACACTAGGCAACACTAGAAAACTTTATTTTCTGTCAGTTGCTTGTTAACCTGCTTTACTCTTACAAAAGTACTTTTATGTAACTATTAACACATGTATTTATGCTCTTCTGCTTTATCCTAGGGATCTTAAAAGACTGCAGTCTCTCTTAAACACTCAGTCCAGCAACCAACAGGTATTTTCCAGTAACTGTTATTTTTCAATAGCTATTAAACATAGCTGTAGAATTGTATAATTGTAAGTAATGGTGATTATGGATTGTGGCAGATGCTTAGGATGTTGTGTTCCATTATGATTAAACATGTAATCAAAATCTTGTGTTGTGGATGTGGTGTCACTTTTTAAAATGTATTTATTTTAATTGTTGCATATAGTCAAGTAGCTTAACAGATTTATGTTCTTCCATGTCATTCCACAATGTCATGCGAAGGTAGGCTTAAAAATGTATTACTTACAACATGATGAAGAGTGGTAAAGAATATAAAGTAAAAAAAAAGAAAATCAGCATTTTAACCATAAGCAATTTGTCTCTGGAAAATAACACTTCAGGTTAAAGTCTTCAGGACATAAATATCAATGCATGAAACTTACAGGACACAGTAAAGTCTCCTTCACCTCAAGTCACTTAGTGAAACTTGTGTTTGCTGTTTGAAGCAAAGAAAAACAATACATGATGATGGGTGTGAGACCTTGGAATGCCAGAACAATTTCTCCCTTTGTATTCTGTAAAAAGATATGACAAAATGACTTAGGGAATCATCCATGTCAGATAGGAGTTATGCACTTCGTTCCTGGATAGAGGCATGGAATTGCTTCTGAGCAGAAAGCTGAAACATCTAAGTTCTACAGCCTAAAAAGAATATGAAAGCTGTGCAATTGTAGAAGTTGGACAGGTAAGGAACATAGATAATAAAATTGTGTTGCGGATTCTATTGAAATTTTAAATTTATAATTCTATTACAAATTTTAAAAGACATGTTCTTCACATTTTATATATCTCCATGTACTTATTTTTCAGCCTCGCTTTATGTTTTCTACCACGTCAAGTTTTTTTTTGCATGGGGGGTGTGTGTATTTTATAATGGCTGATTATAGGTCCAAAGTTCAAGTCAAAACTTGAGAAAAGGTACTTTTGCTTGATAACATGCTTATAAAACTTAAAATGTGGTGTTTGACGCATGAGTACTATCCCTTTACTCCCTAGCTTCCAGCTATACATTTTGAAAGTGGTCAAACCAGTGTGACGAGAGCTCAGCAAAATGTCAAAAGCATTGAACAAAAACCCCATGGTCAATGGCAAGAATCAACAGAAGCTGTTGAGCTTGAACACTTTAGGTAAAAAAAAAAAACAAAACACAACACTAATATGATGACACTGTGTTGTATCTCAGAACATCTTTATGTGTCTTAAGCTTCTTGAGGTGTTGAAGGCGTCTATATTTGTACTTATGTCTGCTACTGGTGCTTTCATGTTAACCCACTGAGATACGAGTTATGTATTTTTAAATTTCTAAACCGAACTTCCTGCCTTTCTAAGTTCCAGACACATGCTGCCACTCAGCAGTGTGTACTGTTGAGAATTAATATAGTCAATTTAAATAAAGTAATGGTCTCTTTATTTGGAAAGCATATATCATACCATTATAATAGTCCCAAGTTATGTATGAGATAGACTATTCTTCCACGCTGTCAAGCCTGGAAATCTGGAGTTGCATTATTCTATTGTAACTGCTGATACGGTATTTCTTATTTTTTCTTGCTAGTGTTAAGTTTTGACAATCTAAAATGATGTGGTGGCAAGATAATCAGCAATTCAGCATTTTTCTTTCATTTTTCCTTATTAGTGTGACCTACAAGAATGAGAGAAATTTTAGTCAACATCCCAAACATAAGCTGTTTCAAGAGATCTTTATGGCTTTGGTTAAGAACAGGCTTTCCTGCAGGTCAGTATATTGAACACATTGATATGCAAGGAGAGTTTCTCTTTCTTGCCTTCAGTGAAGAACCAAAATGCGTGGATAATGTTTCATACTGTTTAAACAGTATGTGCAGCATATATGTTGCAACAGTAGCCCACTGTGTGGAAACTGCCAGCTTCAAATCTCTGCATAATCTCAGTTTTGAACAATCATATCTATATTGGCTTTGAAGACTGAATGTTGGGTTAGTGGGACGGCAAAAGGAAAGCCTGGGTATGTGACAAAATGTGAATGACCAAAATTCTAACATCTGCCATGTTTCCTTGATCATTTGTCTGTATCTGGTATCTGTAATCTATGGTTTGCTTTTCTAATTTCATGTTTATTTTAGTGATTTTACTTGCATTTTATGGACTGCTCCCTATATATAGAAAAGTCAGTGGCTTTCATAAAATTCAGATGAGTTTATGCTACTGTTCATATTTATTTGTAGCTGTGTGTATAAGAGGATTAGAAAGGGAAAACTCTTATGCTGCTCTCATTTGAATGAGGAAGAAGTGCAAGAACTTAAAAAAAATAGAGGAGATAGAAAAATGTATTTTCTGAAAAAACAGATGTGTTTTTCAGGATTTCCATTACTATACACCACTGCCGTGCATGTTATTTTTCCTTTTTAAAGCCCAAGTACATTTTCTGAAAAATCTTAAGTGATACAGAAGCTTAAAGGAAGAATCCTGGAGCATTTAAAGGCATTAATGTGTAACTGCTAGAATTTACAGAAGTACCTAAAAAACACTGAAAAAAATCACATAGTTTGCTTAGACCCTTTTTTAGAACTAACTTGGGAACTAGTGATCTTGTCTTTGATTTTCTAAATAGCAGTGAGTATAAGACAGATCATTTAAGTGATTTGTAAATCTAGAACCTCTTTTTTTGCAAGTGAACTTTATCATCTCAGTACTCACCAGTGGGATGTCAGTGGCTCAGCTTCTTTTGCCAAAAAATCTAAGAATAACTTATGTTGTGTCTTCCCAAGTTCTATTTATATGTTGTGCCATATCTAGCTCATATTTTGTTATGTTTTTTTTGTTTGTTTGTTTTCTTGGGTCTTTGTTGTTGATGTTGATATAGCAAAACTAGCCTCATATTATAAATGCAAACATTCAGGTAAGGTTAATGAAACAAGTTTATATTAGTAGGTCTGTAGAACCCATATGGTAAGTGCAGCTACAAAGGTGATTTACTTGCCCTTTATAAATATTTTACTATGGCTGTGATGGTGTCCTCTCTTCAGGACTACTGCCATTGCATTGTGTCAGAGCCTTAGAAACTGTCACCCTGATCTGCATTACATACTTTCGCTGGCGTAACTATGTTGTTTGTAGTGCAAGCAAAAAATCATACCCACTTATTGGCCTTGCTGTGTTGGCATAAGGCCTGGTTGGAGGTGGTTCTGTTGACAAGAAAGCTGTGATCAGCTTAACTCAAGTAGTTTGCGTAAGGAGTATAACTAAGCAGGCAGAAAAAATCCTTCTCACATGTACTGGATATACACTATGGTATCAGATCACGTGTATTGTAAATGTAACTGTAGTAGGAGAAGCTCTCAAGTGTTAACCAGGCTCAGAGAATTACTGTCCCTTCTTGGAAAGGTGACAGATGCGTTGCTCCATTAAAGAAACTAACTTCTGTCAAGAGTCAAAGCTTTTTGAAAGAACAACTTTGTAGAACCACTGTGGTAATGATCTTCAGGCCACTTGAAAATCTGACCTACAAATTTTGCCTGCTGGTATGTGGTTGCTGTTTTCTCTCCATTAAAGTTCTTCTCAAGTGGCCAATTATGGAAGCATAATGAAAAATAGTATTACTTTGGGCAGAATATTGGCATAGAAGGGCTGAAATTTTGTTATTATCTATTTGTAAAACATTTATTTTTATCAAAATATTTTTAGTCATTGGCATTGTTCCCAACTGCAAATGATAAAAAGGGAAGAGAACTGCCACGTCCCATAGAATTCTTCTTTTCCTTGGAAACTTGCCCAGATACTACAGATTCTGTCCTCTCAGTTAAAACAACAACAAAAAAAAACACATGGCAAAGACATCCAATTTTAGTCTTACTTTAAATAGGAAAATGGGGATATGTACATTCAACAGACAATGGAAATACTGATTCCATTACTGGTACTTTATGCAGGATTACTGCCCCTGGATGCTTTGCACAAATCTGAGTTGAATTTTCTGCCAAGTCTTGTGCTGGGGAATTGTATGGAGAAATATAAAAGAGAAAGTTGTATTTGGAAGTATAATCCTATATCGAGAACATTTAGACTAAATAAAAAATTATTCCAGACTAATAGTATTAGAGCTTTTGAAACCTAAGATAGATTATGATAATTCAAAAAATTATTTCAAATCTAGCTATTTTTACTTTTATAGCACCCATATTTTTACATAAGTGTATTTTGTGCACTGAAGTTTGATACGTGGTTTCTCAGTGATTTTTGTCCTTTCGGCCTTGATCCAAACACTTAAAGTAAGTTTTTATCAAAGCATGATCAGTTCGTGCTTAGAAATAAGCATGTACTTTCCTGCATCAGTTCAGTGACAATAAGTGATGGCTGGCAATGTTCATATAGTGAAATAAATTTATTTAAAGCTGTTACTGTGTTTGAATAAAAATGGTATTAAAAGTTCCATAGTCTAGTATGTTGTACAGCTGTTACAGGTCACTAATATTTTAGTCAATTTATTCCTGAATCAAAGTGTTTTATTTAAGTGTTTTAAGACTTTTTTATTGTATTTGGTTTATGTTTTGAATATTTCTTTTACAGGGAGTGGGTTAATCAAGCTCCATCTATCCATTTTCTTAGAGTATTAATCTGCCTGAGATTATTAGTAAGGGATCCATGCTACCTGGTCAGTATGTCAAAATATTGTTTCTTGCTTGGATAAGAGAATGCATATAAGCTTCAGGCATATGAATTCTGTTGGTGCATGTGTATAAAAACGTGCATTCTTATGCATGCATACTTATTTTATGTGTGTACCTGTATTTCTTATACATGAAGATGTGATTTGCAAACAGATCCCAAGAGCGAATTTGCACTGTTACTGCATAAATTGCTCTATTTCTGATATTTCTTATGTAGCATCTGTTGTTACTAACCCTAACAAAATACCTGTAAATCTCCACAACAGATAACTTGGTCATTGCTCTGAGCCCTAGACTCCATACTTGACTTTACCATATAGATATGTAAAATTTCCTTAATGTAGTAAGCGAAGAAAACTGAAAGCTGCCTACTCTTCCTGGCAGCTCAATGCTCTAAACTACAACCCACCAGCTTTTAATTTTATTCTGGCTGTTATAGTAGTTAGTCGTAAGACTAAGCCTCAGACATCTGATAAGATATTTGGTTTTGTGTATTTCTTCTCTGTGTGCTCCAAAGCTTATACTGGTTTTCCAGCTTTAGAACCTTTAAAATTTCACTTCTGTTGTTTTATTTATGTACGTGTTATAAGTAATTCTGAACTCTGAAGGTGCTAAGTGTCTGCAGAATCCATTGACTTCAACCACTGAAGTTAAGGCTGCTCAACATTCATAACAAACAGAGCATTTATATTCTAGTGTTCTCTCATTCTAGTGTTTTCTGTATTTTGCCTCAATTTTTTATTTTTTATTTTTTTAATTTTCTTTTAGGAAATGCTCCACAGCTTGGGTGGGATTGAAAATCTAGCTCAGGTAGAATTCCTCATAGTACCTTTGTCCATTATATTGCATGTCAGTTTATTATGATTAGAAGAAAATACGCTGTAAAAAGTAGTGTACATATGTTCTTGTTTTATGGAAAGAAATGAGACTATTCCTCTGTTTGCACATAAGCAGTTGGTGTGGCTTTTTTTCTGCACACAATTGTTTCAGTCAGAAGAAACTGTAGGCTTTTGAAGGAAGATGAGTAAAGTCACCTTGAACTGTAGCAAATGACTTTTTGAAGGTGAAAGCATAGTGACAGAATGTTGAACAGGTTTAAATTTGGGAACTACAGTGCTTTTGCATTACAGGACATTATTGATAACTGACTACTGTTTTGTTACAGCTCTATGTTAATACTGCTTTACTCCTGGGTTCTTAATACTTGTTCATCAGTGTCAACTTAGCAGTGAGATATGTCATTATGAGATATGGTTCCCACAGGAGCTGCTTAGCGTTTTCCGGTGTTGCATGTCATTAATGCTTAGCCCTGCTTTTTGAGGAGCTTGCACAGTTCAAAGTGCAACAGTCTGCTGAGATGTTGGCAACATCCGCAAGTGTAGTCCTCTGCGTCAGGAATCCAAATTGTTTAATTGGTAATCATTTTTTACTATGTGTGTGTTGCCAGCATAGAGAATTTAAAAACTAATGAGATGCAATGTTTATGATTTCTGAATTTCTGGGCAACTTAATCTTTTGTGTCCTTTGGAGCAAGATAAAATTAAGTGTTGAATGGGTTTCCAGCACTCTGAAGTGCAGTTTGAAAGAAGTTGTAGCTGAGACTTTCAAAAATCCCTTAGAAATTTGGAAGTTTGCAGTAATTTCAAGGTGAATTATGCATCCAAATTGTTTTGCCAAATCACAAGTTTAAAGTCCTCCACTGAGTTATTTTATACAGCATTAAAAACTTTTTTTTTTTTTTGGACAGTTCAGATAAAAAACCTATTCTCATGTTAAAGTGTTTTGGAGTGTTTTAATAGAAAACATTAATAAAAATATTATTACTAATATCACTTTGCATATTAGTTTCCTCCCCATGTGAGTTTTCTTTCTAAATTATGTGCTAGTACTGTAGCTCTAGCCACTCTGTACCATTTGCTTGAAACTGCCATAGTTTCCCTATACAATGTCCTGGAAATTTCAAAATGTCACCGTATGTAAGACCAATAAATAAGTGATACTGTGAATCATATCATGATTTTGTGTACTAACAAACATTACATCCTTGCCATAATTCTCATTTCCTGGAAAAATATGTTTGACCAGGTCATTATTAGGGTTATTAAAGCAAATTGACCACTATTTCTCAGCAGTGAGCTATGTCCAAAAAAAAAAACCCCAACAAAAAAAACCCCCAAAAAACCCCACAAAATTCAGATTCCCCTGCAGTTGTGTAGGTTTTGTAGAGTTTGAACGTGTCAACTGTGTGGACTGAAGGTCCATCTGGCTGTTCCAAACAGTGACCAATAGTAGACGCTGAGGAAAAAGTTTGAGAGCAGAAACATGAAGTGGTAATTCCCCAGGAAGCTCTTGTGAACCTGTAGCAGCTTGCAAAGAAGGGAATTTTGGCCCTGGAAGTGGGGTCGTTGTATTTGAGGGTCTTCAGTGGATTTTCCTCTTGTGGAATTTTACACTTGATTTTCGAATTCTTATGCTTCCAAGATCTCTTCCCTGACAGGTTTTACAGCAAGAGTGTAAGGGATGGTGCAGACTTACCTTTTCGTGAAACAGATGCACCACCTGCAGGCTGTTTTTGTGCATAACACCTTAGGTTTATCTTAAAACTTTTGTTTTTAATGGTATCCTTTATTTTTTTTCCACCTACTTGTAGTATATGGAAACGGTGGCAAATGACTATCTTGGTTACGGAGAAGAGCAGCATAACGCAGACAAGTTGGTCAACATGACATGTAAGTGTTAGAGCTGATAACATAAATTATAAGGACACTTAGGGCTTTTTGTGTGAGGCTTTAAATGTTTAAAATACTTGAGATGGTCATTAAATAAGTTATTAATAGACCAGTATATGCATCATTCCACAAGTAAAAAGTGAAATTTCTGTGGAAAAGCACATCTTGTTTTTGTACAGAAGTAGCATTTTAAGATAATACCTCTTTATGCACTGAAATAACAGGGTAAAATGAGCTAGTCGTGGTTTAAAGAACTTATCCAGTGTTTTCCTTTATTATCGGATTAGTAAAATGAAAATTAATGTCACCTCCTTTGTTCCGTAGACATTTTCCAAAAGCTTGCTGCTGATAAAGATCAAAGAGAATGGGTTATAGCAAGTGGAGCACATAAAGTAAGTACTTTATAAAATTGCTAATTATAACCAATTAGCTACTTAACTAAATGACTTATGCTTTTCAGATTTGATCTAGGTGGAGTAAGTTCCTTACCTTGTCAATCTTGTAAAGTAGGATAATCTCAGTTCTGTGTTTTACAGATGCATTAGTAGTATCATAAAAGTAATTTCTTATATAAAAGTTAATTGGTCTGATGCATGCTTACTAGTTGCTTGAGATAAATGAGTCTTAAATGTTTGGACTAAACTCATTCGTATAAAAATTAGTACTCATGTTTACACTGTCCTGAGCTACATGTTGCTCTGATATAAATAGTTTTATATACTTTAAAAAATAGATTTATATACTACTTTAATTATTTATATTTTTACTTAAATTTCTGTTATTATTTTACACTTATAAAATATTCTGTGTCTAAATGGAACAGTATCAGCCTAGACAGTGACGACCTAGACATCCTTTGCTATACATTACTGTCAGTCTAAGAATCTGTGCTTAACCATAGCAGTTTTGTGGCCAAACTGAGAAACAGTAGAGATCAAGATCAGTATAGCTAGTGCTTCATGATTCTATTGCGCTGCAGTAAGACATTGACAATTGTGATGTGATAGTATTGGACCACATATTTTTAGGGAATCTAGACAAGTATGAAATTTACTTTGATATAAATCTTTAACAGAATATATGCAGGGCCGTAAATTACATTTTACATTGTTTAAGCTGAAAATTAACTTTTTGCTTCAGGAGGCCTCAATTTAGAGTTCTGAAGTGTTTTACACAGAAACAGATTTTTACAATGGCATGTTATGTTGAACAGATGCTTTACCAGTCAAGAGAGATGCTAATTACAGTTTGAGAAGAAACATCCTTGCTTGTCATAAGACTAGGTGTGTTCTAAGACTTTAAGTATATATTTAAGTGTACTTAAAGAGTACTTAAATGTACCTAAGACTTTCAGTGTGTTATGTAAGGATTTGGTATCTTAATTTTGACTTTTCAATAAATAACTCTAGATGTGTTTGTTGTAAAAGAAAATAATATAATTTATATTTATTTATATTGTTTCATGTTTCATTTTCCAGACCTTAGTAAATTTGTTATCCGCCAGAGACAGCAACGTGCTTTTGGGTGCTCTCCTTGCTCTGACTAGCCTAGCAGAGAGGTTGGTTCAGCTTAATATGCTGTAGTTCACAATAAGCATTTTAATGCTATCTCTTGACACAATATTAAAACTCTTGTTTATGAGGAAGACTTCTTGTTTTTCAAAACGAGGCCTTGTTCTGTGGAGGTCTATATTGGTCTTCTATATTGAAGCAGCAAAAACTATGTAGTTATGTTGGTCCTTGCAGCAGACTTCTTGCTCATGAGGAGAACTTTGCAAGACAGGAGTAATAGAATTTCTCTTTGCAATTGCTCTGGAGGATTCTGGAATTCTTCTTGACTTCCTGCATCTAAAAATCTTTTGTGCTCAGCTTAATATAATAGTGCCTCTCAATAAGCAGCAAGAATGTTGTTCAGTGTAGTAAATAATGAATGCATACACTCAAATCCGTGTATATGTATCCTCTCTTCACTAATAATTGTTTTAAATAAGACTTTTTTTTTTTCCTGGTGTGGAGGGGAAAAGAAGAAAAGGAAGATACAATATCTTTCATCCTTAGTAATTGCATAGAAGAAAAGCTGCTACTTCTATATTATTTTTCTGCTGAGTTCCAGACTTGTATAATAATTTATATTTTAAATGAAAAATTATTAGGAAAATTACAAAACTGAGGAGAATAGGTACAATTCGTTGAGATCAGTATAAATTTATTTACTAAGATTTTTCTGGATTTTCTGTCTTCTCAAATTTCTTTCATTCTATTTCAGTTTAATTTTTTAATGTCAGTGTTAATTCAAATGATGTTGTATATACGTTTTCAACTTTGATTTAACTTTCTTCGCCAAAGTAAATGTGTTACATTTGGACTGGACAAGAAAGTGTTTGGAGTATGTTACAAATATTAATGGAGATTGTATTTTATTCTAAAAATTTACCTCATTTACTTAATTTCTAGTATGAAATGAAATACATGCATGTCTATTTTTTTGCATTCACATTTGCTTTTTTTATACTGGGAAAATTGGAAATAGTTGCAATGTCACTCTTGACCCAGAATATTTTTTAATATTTTGGCTTTAAATATTTGTGTGCGCAATGTGACATTATTCCTTAAGACTTGAGAAAAAAATAGTTGGTCAAATGTATAAGGAGGGAGACTAAAGATCAATGTGTTTTTTCATATAATTTAATTTGATATAAATGCCAGGAATAATCAATTTGTAGTCCAGCATGTAGGGAGAAGATAAGTGAGCTCACCATTGTTGAGAACTTGCTGGTGATATTACATGAATACGATTTGCTTTCTAAAAGGTGAGACTTTCCTTGTAGATTAATTGTGTTAAAATATATTTTGACTTTTTCATTTAGGGGTATGTTGATTTAGAGGAATTAGATAATGTGCCACTTTAATATACTCAAGGTAAAGTTCTGACACTTAATGTATTTTCAGTCAGATATTGATATATCAAAATCTTTCTAGTATTTTTGTTGTAAGCTCTCTCTCCACTGCCTACAGTGCAGTCCAAATAAATTGCAATGTTACCATCAAGTGATAGCAATTGCTTTTCTTGGTGTGTTTCCTCTTTGCTCCTGGCAGACCTGAGTGGTTAAACAGAAACCACGCTGAACTGTGACAGTTCCTGGGATGCCCAATATAAACTGGTAAAAAATCGCAAGACATATAGCCATTTCAGCTTATCCTAGAGTTTGGGTCAGACCCCACATCCCTTCAATCAGAAAATCATCAAGGTTCCTTCAGTTCTTTAAATGTCTTTTCATCTCAGCGAAGCCTGCTAGCTGAGCATGGTATATCTGCATTTCAGCAAGAAACGAAAGACTCTCAAATTTAATGACATCACAATCCTATCACATTTAAAATTCTCGAGATATTTTTTAAATGTCATGCTTAATCTTTTCACAGATGTGAATTATTTTGCATATGACTAAAGATAAAGAAATTGAATATGCCAAAAGATTTTATTTATTTTCTGGGTTTGAAATTATTTAGATTATGTGCAAACCAAAAATTTGTTACAAAAACTGGAATTTGAATGTAGATAGGAAGATGATGAAATTCAATGCTAGTTAAGAATAATTTAAAATTCAGATATGAATCCAAATTGATATATTTCATCAAACACACATGCAGCATTTTTACTTCAAGTGGAAAAGGAAATACCTGACTATATTTTCTATGGAAAGTCCACCTTAGTTGGAGTGAAGTTAATTAAAATCTTGTGTAAACCTTTTAAATGATATATCCAGTCCCTTTTGTAAACACAATATTGAAACCATACTGGAGAAGAATCTCGATTGTTTGTGGAGTTCTTCTAAATCCACAGATGGTCTTTACAAGCTCGTGCAGTCAGTGCTACTTGTAGTACTACTGCCATTAACAAGAAGGTGGTAACATGGATGACTGCAGTCCTCCTGGCCACCTCCATCCTGGCTGTGGATGCCTTACTGCCTATGCTGACAGTCAAACTCAATGTAAATATAATTTCATCGCTCGGGAAAATTTGGACCTTCTTCTTTTTCTTTTTTTAAACAGTGACTTTAACCAGTTTAAAGGGATTTTGAGCAGTTTTCTTTAACTTCTTTTTTTTTTTTTATAGGAGATCTTTGTTCGTAAACATTTGCTGTGTTTTTTCCCCTTTGCTGACAATACAAAGTAATGATGGAGTTATCATTAAAATTTCTTGCTGATTTTTTTTTTAGGCTCACAGCAGAGTTGCTACGTCTCCTCTGTGCAGAGTCACAAGTCAAAGAGCAAATAAAAATGTATGAAGGAGTTCCAGTCTTGCTCAGTTTACTCCATTCAGACCATATCAAACTTCTATGGAGTATAGTTTGGATTCTGGTACAGGTTTGTGAAGACCCTGAGACTAGTGTGGAAATCCGGATTTGGGGCGGAATCAAGCAGCTCCTTCATATATTACAGGGGTAAGTTTTTGGTCCTCAACCTTGTGGCCGTTATATGACAGTTTCATATTTTAAGATATATTTGACCAAGCCCTGTTTTTTCAAATAGCATATTTATTTTATTTGGCTGTATGTGATGTCTGCAGAAATTAAAAGGCTATTTGGAACATAATGAATAAGCAGTATTTTTTTTTTCAGCTATGTCATTGTTACCTTAAAACATTTTCCATATTTTCAGTGTACAAACTAATAATGAATAGATTATAAAAATATCGTTACTATCTACTTAGGTTTCTTATTAATTAGACACCTATTTAGTGAGCTAGAATTGTGAATATAATTGAACGTGGTAAAGCAATTTTCTGTTTAAAGGCTTGTTTCCTTTTTCAAAATGTATTAGCTGATTTAGTGAAAAACATACAAATTTTCAGAACTTCAGGAGTGATTAACAAAGATATGATAAGCCATTTTTTTACACTGCAATTTGATTTTTTTTTTTTTTAACCAGGGAAAGAAATCTGGTTTCTGATCGCTCTTCAGTTGGAAGTTTATCCAGTGCAAACGCAGCAGGGAGAATCCAACATCTGCATTTGTCAGATGATTTCAGTCCTGATGAGATGCAAGAAAATACTTTCTTACTTCAAGCAGGTAGATTTATAAGGCCTAATCTTCTCTTATGTGTTTACTTGCACTTGTGCAAAGGGATTCAAAATATTTCAGAATTGAAATTGTAAACATTTATACCTACTTTAGGGATTGGGAGCACCAAGTCAGCTGCGTTTATTTGTAATACCAGCACATATTTCCAAAAACCACACTTTTTTTTTTTTAGAAAGAAGCAAAGGATAAAGTATTAAGTACATGGGAATCATATGTATTTCTTCCACCTGTAGAAACATCTCAAAAATATGTATTTTTTTTTAATTTTGGTTTTATGGAGAGAATCCCATTTAGAGGTGATTTCTCAATGGCACGTCAATTACCCATTCTGAAAAGCCTCTGGAGGATCATATTTTTTTCCAGTGACTATAGAAGGACAATGCAAAATATCCTTCCTAGGATTACATGAACCTTTGCAAACTGAAACATAATGTGTAAGTGGTTTTGAATATTTTATCACGAATGTTACCTATGAAGAGCTGGTAATGTGAAATAAATTGCAGTACCAAAGGTATTGCCAGTATGGAGCATATTTCAGCGTTACTTCTGCTTTCCTTAAGGACTCCTCAGACAGAGTACGCGCTGAATTTACAGAGGTCTTTTTCATTTCTGACTGAGTATTTGTTTATGTTTTTAGACTTCTGTATTGCGTGTAGGTGGTAAGGTTTTGTTAGCAGAGGGCCTGCAGGGGTGGCCTCTGTGGGAAGATGTAAGGGATTGCCCTGTGCTGGACACAGCTGGTTCCAGCTTGCTTCACAACAGACCCACTACTGGCCAAAGCTGAGCCCATCAGCAAATCCAGTGGTGCATCTGTGAAAACATAGTTAAGAAAAGGCAAAAACGTTGGGTAAGCAAAGGAAGAGAGGAAAAAAGAAATAAAGGGGTGAGAAACAGCAGTGCAAACACCAAAGTCAGAGAAGGAGGAGAGGGAGGAAGTGCTGTAGGCACTAAGGCAGAGATTAACCTGCAACCCATGAGAGAGACCTCTGTGGAGTGGGTATTCACACTGCATTGTATGGAGAGGACCCATGCTGGAGCAGGGGAAGGGAGTGAGGAGAAAAGAGCAGCAGAGTGGAATTGTTATGTACTGACTGTAACCCTCATCCACCATCCCCCAGCGCTGCTAGGGGAGAGGGTAGAGGAGTTGGGAGTGAAGGAGTGAAGATGAGTCTGGTTGGGGGGACAGGTGGAAAAAGTGTTGTTTTAATTTTTTGTCTTTGTTTTTTTGTTATCAGAAAATATTTTAATTGGCAATGAATTAAATTAATTTTCCCCAAGTCAAGTCTGTTTTTCCTGTGATGGTAACTGGTAAGCAATCTGCCTGTCTTTAGCTTGACCTGTGAGCTTTTCCATCCTATATTCTCCCTCTGTTCTTTTAAGTAAGGGGAGTGAATGAGCAACTGGATGGGCATTTGGCCATTAGCTAAGGTTGACCCACCACGGTCTCTGAATATCTTTATTAATCTGGCCCTAAATGTTACATCTGAATTTTTATTCTAGCTTGTTGTGCTGCGATTACTGAACTGGTGCTCAATGAGACCAACGCTTACCAGGTAGTACAGGTAGGAAGACTTTATTCAGTTAGGTAAGGCATCAGAGTCTATAATTTGCTTTAATTGTTCTTATTTGTCATCATCATTTAATTAACAAAATACATTTGAAAGGCATTGGAAAATATGCCTTTATATAACTTTAGTATCTCTGTTTCTTTATACATTTACACACAGAGACATATACACAAAGATATGAACATATTTATCTAGTGGTCTGGGAGAATAAACAGCTTTATTTAGATAGAGTTCAATGTGGTTGGCATCTCTTGCCATGCTTTTGCCATATTCAAAATAGGATAGTAAATCAGAGTAATCATGGAATTAACTGAGAAATACAAATTCTGAATTTAATGAGGTTTATTAAAACAAACTCTGTGCAGCTTAATGTGGATGCATTGTTGTTTTCACAAACAATTTCTCTTTTCCTCAGAGTTTGATATTTCTGAGATGTATTTCAAAACTGTTGGTTAAGAGGAAAGGAATGGAAGTAAGTCTAGAAAAAAATCTTTAAGCACTAAAATCATCAATAAACCATACTTATTTTGACAACATTTTATCTGAACAATCTAAGTGCATATGTTTTAGGCTGAGTTTGATTTCATCAAAATAAAATATCGCCTATTTAAATTGGATATATTTTGAAAACAGTGTAACTCCTGGGGGACCTGGGAAATAAAAGGCTGATTTTAACATAGAGTTTTTATGCATTTCTCTAGCAGTGCATGGTAACTGTGGTGTCAGTAAATTGCTTAAAAAATGATGGGACAATGTGCAGGCTGGGAAAAAGTGTTTCAAGCTTAACTTCTTCCACTCGTCCTGTCAAAAGATAACGACTCCTCCCTTTGTTGAAGCATAGCTAATATTCTCCTTTCAGATTAGGGCATAGTTTCAAGCATGTTCATTTCAATTGGAGTTCCACCCTACAACAGCCTCTTTCATTTTAAATCCTGCTTCTTTCTCTGTGCTAATATAACTTGGAGAGTTGCATGGTGAACAAGATGAAAGAACTCACTTAAGTTAGAAACAGAGGAAGATTTGCAGCTCTTTCAGTTATGGGCTGAGAAAGTCAAACTAGGTGACTTCTAAAGCTTTATCTTGTTCAGTGGCAAAGAACTCCTGGTTCAGGCAGTTGAGAACCATTTCCTTCTGCTATATCTGTCCATCCTGTGTCCTTGTCTCAACTTATGACCTCAATAGCAGTCTGCAGCAGTTCTGGTAGCAGGCCAGATTGTGTTTATGACTTAATGACTCTGCTGCACAGCCTGAAACCTTAGCTCATCTCTACTTTCATGAACAGTTTAAGAAAACATGTCAGGAACTGCAGCAGAGACTGTCCAGAGCTGGCACATATTCCCTTGAACTTTGCTAGAGAGAAGAGTAGTCTCCAACAGGGAGCTTGTCAGGTAACTGGGAAAAGTACTGTAACTAAATCTACTGGTGTTCATCTATCAAACCAACAGGATGGATACATTAATGGAGGACACATGTATGGTTGCATGAATATGGAAGTTGAAATACAGTATGATTTTCACAAAGCCAGGCACAGACATACTCCTCAGGCTAACCCTTCTGGTGTTTCTCCCGTTTATATTTGTTGTAACTGGATTTTTGTTTCCTGACAGTTCAAAATATCCACATGGTGATGGGAGATCTGTTGCTGCAATTTCCTTCACCTCTAGAGATAGAAGCATTGCTTCATTATCTGTTTGCAAGCTCTTTGCAGTTATCAGTTTAAATGTAATGATGATTTCATTCTTCTGTACATTTAAGTTATTCGAGCCTATATTTAGGTGTGCAGTAGGATGTTGAGAATTTATCAATTGGTATTAGCTTCTAATTTATCTGAAATAACGTTGGGTTTTATTTGTGGTTTCCATGCAAAGGAGTGCTCTTAATTTTGACCTTTCTCTGTTTCAAGGCAAATGGAATATATACAATAGCAAAGCTGACTTTACCAAACAAAGAAAGGAATGCTGAAAAAGCTAATTTATTACAGGTAACTCCTTTTATTATCATTGCACATTGAAAGCCCCAAACAGTCACTGAGAATTTTTTATGACTTTAAAGTTTATTTTAAAGTGCAGTAAGAAAATCTTACTCAAAGGGGGAAAAAAACCCCACCAGAACAAGACCAGGAATAACAAATGGCTTGGGAACAAAAAGTTAAATAGTGACTCAATTTCTGGTGTTCTGTTCTGATCCACTTTGTTTCTGGCACCTCATATAGTGTAGAGAAAAATTAGTATTTTTCTTGTGATAACCTCTCCTCCTGTTTTTCAGGCTGTCCAGCATCAGATCTTCTTTTTAGTGCCTTGATCTTATTGAAACTCACTGTAGATTTGACACTGTACTAGTATCTGTTTCCTTCGGGAGCATCTTACTGTGGCTATTAAATAAAATACAGCAAACATCACATGGAGTAGAGCAAATTTAAATGCAGGATAAATATAGAGCTGATAAGTGAAGAATGGCTATTGGTTTAGCATGTCAATACTGCCATTAATTTAGTGGTTGGAGTCAACTTAGGCTAAAAGTTACCAGTAGTAATTAATTATCTGGTGGTTTTTCTCCAGCCTCTGTGAAATGGTATCTCTCTAAGCTATAGGAAACTAGTGGTTTGGGGTTCAGGGATGAACACAGCTCCTGCTGCTCTAGTTGCCCGTCTGTGGGCAAGTGTGAGGAGGTCAGTATCCTGCATCTCACCTGGTCTTTGTTCTGGCATAGCCCTACACTAACATGTCTACATAGCTACTCAACTCAGTCAGGTAGACCTGCCTGGATAGAGAGGGAAGGCATTTCTGAAAAAAAACCCTCATTGCAATATCACCATTCTCATCACAGTTCTTATAGATTAGAGTTAGAGTGCAGATTCAGCACAGTAGGTACCTTTCTTCTGCAATGACGTTTTATGGTGCACTTCAGTTAAATCAGCTTAAGGTTGAGAGAAATAAAAATCTTCCTAAAGGGTATATGAAACTAACATGCAGTCTAATAAACTGGAGCATATGCTTAGTACAGTTGCCTCATACAACTGTAAGTATTTTAATTTATGCCCACCAAGGTTTTTAGATTTGAGCAGAATGGGATAGGAAATAAATCACAAGAGATAATAAGTGACTGTAGTTTGGTTAAACATGAAGCCATGTGAATTAATAATGGACTTGATGATTACTTATGAAAACTAAAGCCGTTTTCTGGCAAAAAGTAATTTTATTTTTTTTCAATGAAACCTTGTTCAGATTCTCACATTGCTATCTGTATTGCCTTTATCATTGTTACTCCTATGCAATATGGTTCTTGAATTTCTTAGGCATTTTTCTTAGAATTCTCATAGTGCTGGTCCGGTTTCTTTACCGCTCCGTTGTCTGTGTTTTCAATAACTACATTTTCAACTTCTTTCTGCCATGCTGCCATAGTGATCTTGCTCCATTAATTCAAGTGTGGCAGTGATTTATTCTGCATACGTACCATATATGCAAATCATCATGCTTTAACTCAAGTGTATCACAAGTTTCAATATTCAATCTCACAATGTCAGTGTGAGAAAGACAAATACCATTACCATTTAAAATATCTACTTAGCTCATTATTAGTCTGTTGTCATGTCCCTTCACTGATGGGCTTTCTACAGTAAGATCCATGTATAGTCTCTAAAGTGAAAAACTTTCAAGGTAGCAACTGTGGCCCAGCCAGTCTGGGTTATTTTGCACAGCTAAATTTTGACTGTGTTTTCTCAGTGGAATGTTAGACATCATAACACACCACCCTTCTCCTGTGATGAGGAGTTTACTTTGGACTAAAAAGGAACTTTATCTGTAAAAGAGACAACTTAGCAGCATTAATGTCTATTCCTTTTCTGTGAAATTTCAAGTATCCTGCTTCCTTCAAAAGTAGTATTTGGCCTATTTGACCTTTCTTTTCTTCATTCAATGCATTTTCTATATATTGAAAGATGTGTTTTGAACATTGGGATTAATTCTGTAGTTATCACCAAGACACATTTAACATTGTCTAAGTAGGGATTATCACACTGGACTGTAGTCATGTTTTAGTCACTGATGCAATAAAGCAATTCTAAATTATGTTAAAGTCATTTACTATTTGCACTGTTTCAGATATCAATACTTTATTTCCCTTTGGCTTACTTATACAGGCATCTTTGGTTGGGTGTATGTGTGCCATATTATTGACTCTTGATAGAGAGAACTAAAGATGAGTTACATAAAAGTCTGCATATTAACTACCTGCCAGTGGCTGTTTCAAAAAGAAACTTTCTTCAGTAAAGATCATATAGAAACTAAGGTACATAAAGATGGAAACTGAGGTACACAAAGGTCTCTGTAACTATGAAGAGCTTAGTATTAAGAAAAAAAAGTGGATCATTCTCTCTTTCTCACTTTTATTTTTTCTTTTTTTTTGTTCCCAGTTAGAACTTATGGTGTTCTGCACTGCATATTTCAGAAAAAAATGCCCAATGCTGTTTCAATGATGCATCAAAATGATGTAATGCATCGTTACAAAACCAATGATTTTTTCTATATTAGAAAGGGGAGCAAGTCTCAAGTCTTGAACTATCTGCAAATAAAAAGAGACGGTTAAGACTTAGGTGCTTCTCAGTGTCTACCATAGCTGTAGTCACCCACTTTTTTCCCCCTTTTTTTTTTTCCTCCCTAAATGGACCTGCCTACTTATAAAATGTTGGAGGAACTTAATATATTTTTACTCTCTTCATTATCAGGTTAATAAAGTAATCCATCTAGTCGTTTAAGTACAAAGTTTACCAATATGTAAAGTCAAAGTTTATCAGTGACTTTTCCATTTGTGTAAAAATTTGTCATTAATTTAAGTATTCTTCCTGCCGTAGTGTTATGCCTTCAGAGCCCTGAGATTTCTCTTCAGTATGGAAAGAAATCGACATATCTTTAAAAGGTATGTTAGCAAAATGTTTTGTGAAACTCCTTTAGGATAGCTTTCAAAAGTCATTATTGTAATGAGAAAGCCATGTTTTTTAAATGTCATTTATTTTCAACAGAAAGAAATGTTAACAGGTAACTTCTGTCCTGTCTGTAGCTACAGGTAGCCCTTGCTACATTGCATCAGTGCCAGCCTACAAGATTTAGACTTTCAGCATGGGGACTTCTATCGTATGCATGCCAGAGAACCTAGCTCTGTAGGGGCTTCTTCCTCCCACATGAATCAAGGTTTAGAATATGTTGAGGACGGATTTAATACTGTTGGAGATAAACCACATTTTCATCCTGAAGATTAGCAGATGCAAGTTACAGCCCTGGATAGTAGCAAGTAACTGGGAGCAGTAAATTTTTTCTTCCTCCACTCCTTCACAGGGGAATGACTTTACGTCAGGCTGGTTTACTTAGAAGTGTTGCTGAAAGGTGTCTTTCATCACTTACCTATTTTTACTAGTAAGATGACAGTTTCACTGGGCTGGCTACAAAGGCCATGTAAAACCTAACAGTTTGATTTGTGGGATTAGGATAATAATCATACTGCCTAGGAGATCTGCCTGTCACTACTGTTTCTGTATGATTTTATTCTGTATCATGAATTACTAGAATTCTAAATATAAGTTTTGTGTTATTTTTACTTTTAAAAAGTGAATTTTGTACTGAAAGGGCCTCAGTTTGTAATGAATGTTCACGATTGGTGTCAAGTTTTGAAAGCGATAAATCTGGATTGATTTGCTGTCTTTCATATTTTTCCAAAAGCCTTAATTTTCCGTATTTCTGCCTTTGCCAGAACTTTAAAAAGAAACAAATCTTCAGTTAGGCATGTCACCGATTAAATATTGCCTACTATCTGATAGCTTTCACTTTTCTCATTCCTTTTCATCTTGTAGACTGGAGTTCTTGCACAAAAATTCTAAGCTGAGTGTTGTGATTCTTTAAGTGTAGACAGATGTTAATCCTATCACTTAATGCATTACAAGAAGGAACTTGGATAAAATGACAACAAGTGTAATATAAAGTATTATAAGAAAAAAATAGCAAAATGACTGGAAACTCAGGAGGTGCATTGACTTTAAAGGGGCTTATACTTTTCTGGAGAACTGGCACTTTATGTGAATACCCAGCTCATGGAGGATGAAGTCAGACTTTTGACAGGTCCTTTAACTCCTATGTATATAACGTTAGAGTGTTAATATCTGAATAGATTAGTAAAAAATAAGTGTATTATTTAGAAAGTTCTAAAGTAAATAGTAATAATAAACATTGAAGAGTCTCTGCTATAGATTAATAGCTACTGTGTACACTGTTTCTAAAATATATCAAAATTCAAACATTTGCAGGCTTTTCCCTACTGACTTGTTTGAAGTCTTCATTGATATTGGACATTATGTGCGTGATATCGGTGCTTATGAAGAGTTGGTATCAAGGCTAAATTTATTAAAGGTAAGTAAAAACCTTCATAACTTTCAGAAGCTGTATTCTTTACACATTCTTAGGAGAAGAAAGGCATGAAATATTTTATATTTATTTATTTGTCATTTAATTTATAACCAGGAGGATGAATTGAAGCAAATTGCTGAAAGTATTGAGAGCATGAATCAGAATAAGGCACCTACAAAACATATAGGCAATTATGCAATTTTAGAGCACCTTGGCACTGGAGCTTTTGGAAGTGTATATAAGGTAAACTTCCCTTTTGGTATTAAGTTAGAGATTTGAGGGGAGGCGTCATGGTGAGGGTCTAATACCTGTTTTAGCCACCGCCATCCTTGGAATTTCAGTAGGGGAATGGAGGTGTGAAAAGGCCTTTATGGATCTGGGCTCGTTGTTAGTATTTATTGTGATTATGTTTGTCCCCTCTTGTATTTATAAGATTGACTAGTGTATCTCTTAGGTTTCCTACTTCCACTTTCCTTTAATTGCTTTCCACAGGCAACATTTCTGTCTCTTGCAAAGACTAACATATCTGTGTAAAACCACAGAAACTGAGGCATGTTTTGTCTGAAAAGCAACACTTGCCACAGATAATGTTACTTCAAACGCTGTGGCAAGTTCAGCAGTGCACTGCTAACCTCCATTGTGGAGCTCCGATTCTTTTGACTTAATCACATCATATACAGGAAAAGCTATGACTCTGATAAGAAATCTGGTAGCCATAAAAATAGGCTTTCTATCCCCATCCTAAATTAATTTCACAAGGGCTTTATCTTTTTTATAGGTTAGAAAACATAAGGGACAAAATCTTCTGGCAATGAAAGAAGTCAATTTACACAATCCAGCGTTTGGAAAGGACAAAAAAGACAGAGATAGCAGTGTAAAGAACATTGTCTCTGAATTAACCATCATCAAAGAGCAGGTATGTCTCATGGACTCTAGTTTTATGTATGGGCATTCTGCTGTTAGCATTATTAACTGTGAGTTCTGATGTAGCAGGGCTTCCAGCTGCTGTTATTATTTTTATCTGATCGGTACAATGTTGGCCCCTTTTACCTGAATGCTGTCAATATTGAAAACCTTATTACTGTAGTGTTAGCAGCAGTACAAATCCTTCTTACTAAAGGTTCTTACTTTCTGTGTTAGCAGTATTTGAACTTTTTTCAGGGATTTGGTAGATTAAGATCGTGGTAGAAAACTGATGAGTCTTTGTTCCATTTAATTAATTATTTTGTTTAAAATACAGTGAGAAGATAGTCTTTTTTGTAATTGAAAATTAAAAAACAGTCTGGTCATTTGTGTTCTTAGGCTAAGAAAGCCAGTACTTTGGTGCAGGCATAATTGCCTGTCTTCAGACTTCATTTACTCTCTTTCGGTTACTAAGGGAAGAGTGGATAGGAATCCTGCTGTATTTTCCTCCTCATTGCTCTAGTAATGGGCAACACTTCTCTATGTTTGAGGTAGCAACAAAAGTCTACTGCACTGCAGTTCATGAGCAAGTTTGTGGAATTCCTGTGGAATCCTTCCTTCCAATGTCTAGCTAAACATAAATATCATACTATCAGTTTAACTGTTCTAAACAGCTGAATTTCTTTCCTCATTGTAGCTTTATCATCCAAATGTTGTACGGTATTATAGAACCTTCTTGGAAAGTAAGTATAAATGCATAGAATTATTACATTGTACATAACGAAGAAATAAAAATATATAATAAAAGCACTTACAGCTTGGAAGGAGTGCATCAAATTTGAGCAATAACTGGTAATGTTTTCTTCAAGAACTGCTATGGTTCAGACAGGTTTGTATTGCTTTAAAATTGAAAAAATGGTGGGAAATAGTATTTATATTTCTTTATCAGTAAAACTAGATACACTGGAAACATGCAGAAAGCATCATTCTCGTCCTGTAGAATTAAGGACCCCAAACTTAAAACTGTAGTGCTATGTAGGCAGAAAAGCTATAGAGACTAGTAGAATGAATGATATAGATTGGTCAGGCATATTGTCTTAATTTTCTTTTTTATAAAGAGCTAGCTCCATATACCTGCCCACTAAGTGAGTGTCAGGCAGTGAATTCCTTAGAGTTGCTGTGATGTAAATTGAGGAAAAAATGGAATAACAAGGAGTAGAAAGTACTTTTTTACTTTAAAAAGTAAAAAAAAAAAGCTTTAAAATATATTTTAACCTCGAATACTCTATTTTCTAATGCCTTCTGTATAATTGTAATGGTCTATTAATTCATTTTCTTTTATGTAGATGACAGATTGTACATCGTCATGGAGCTCATAGAGGGAGTGCCATTGGGAGAGCACTTTCACTCTTTGAAGGAAAAGCAACAACGGTTTACAGAAGAAAGAGTATGGCATATATTTATCCAAGTAAGGGCCTCCATTTTTTTTTGTTACCAGGACTATCCTACATGTAATTCGGAGCACCATTTATGTTTTTTAGGCTAGTAAATGACAAAGTAAGGCTTATTATATCAAACACTAATATCAGAAATTAATTTCATTTTATGTGCCTTTATTTAAGTTGTAGTTAAGAATCTTTGAAAGGCTGTTTTTGTTTTTAAGCTTTGTCTAGCTCTTCGTTATTTACATAAAGAGAAAAGGATTGTTCATCGAGATCTCACTCCAAACAATGTCATGCTGGGGGATAAAGACAAAGTTACAATTAGTAAGTAGAACTACTTTACTTACATTAATTAAGTAGAATTTCCCATGATGTAAATGAGTAGAATTGCTGTACTGAAACTCTCAGAAGGTTTCAGATTCCCAGGCATTGGTCACCATACTTGGAAGCTAGTAAATTACTGCATTATACTGTGTGTAAAATAATTGCTAAAGCAGATTTTGTGATCATTGCCACAAGATGACATCAGCCATGACTAGAATTTTTGCAGCTATGTATGTGTCGTGGGTTAGGCCGCTCCGGCAACTAAACCCTACACAGCCCCTCTCTCACCCTCCCCCACCCCCAGGGATGAGGGAGAGAATCAAAGAGGAAAAAGAAAAGAGACCTGTGGGTTGAGATAAGAACAATTTACTACTACCGCTACCAATGTATATGTATGGATATGCACAAGGATAAACATATACAAACGAGTGATGTGCGGTGTAATTGCTCACCACCCCTTGACCGAGGCGCATCTCGTTACGAAGCTGCAATCCCGAAACAGATAAATCCTGATACCGCAATCCCGGATGAACAGGAGGCCCCGAAATAGAGAGCGAGAGAGAGAGAAAGCTCTCACCCCGAAAGTGAGAGTCCCGGAAGGGCAAAAGCCCTTCTTTCCGGCTGACCCTCACTTTTGTACTGGGCATGACGCTGGATGGTATGGAATACTAATTGGCCAGTTTGGCCCTCAATCTTAAGTTCAGGTACAAATTGTAAGGAGAGTTGTGGACCCCTTGTCCCGGCTGTGCTCCCCCCTTATCCTGTTGTGCTCCTGCACACTGGCAAGAACCCAGCAAGCTGAAAAGTCCTTGAGACCTCAGTGCCAACTATAAACATCAGCTTGCTGTCAACATTCTTCTCAGAGCGAGCCTCTGAGTAAAACCAAAGCACGGAGCTCTTCTAGCTGCTAAAAAGAAGAGCTAACTCTGTCCCAGCTAAAACCAGGACAGTATGTCAAACGTGAGAGGAGATGATTTAGCCCTAAAAAAAAATTAAACTATAGTTATGCTTCGAGGCCTGTTTCTATTTAAATCAGCATGAATATAGAGATAACTAGATTAGATAACGAGTGCTAATGAACATATGAAGTACAACAGCCATTGGTTCTATTCCAGTTATATACTGGAATATGGTCTATACCATGCAGTTACTGGAATGGTCTATACCATGCAGTTATTTAGTACCCATGAGTTGTTCCCAGTGATTAGCTACAGTGAGGTGGTCTTTGCCTAAGACTGTAGTAGTCAATATTCTTGATGTATGCTTCTATAATCTCCACGGTGTGCAGGAAGGAGCCTAGGCAGGTTTCAGTATAGGCTTTGAAAGCAGTACATGTGTGAGCAGTACTCCGAAGTATGACAGAGTTTTACTCTGAGTGAATTACTACAGATTGGTACACCAGCAAGCCTTACAGGCAATTCAGATACTGTAGTTTTTAAAGTTCTTAAAGAACTACTGCATGCTTTCTTACTGCTCATGACACAGAACTAAATAAACAATTTGAATACTGCAGAATAGTTACAAGAAGTCTTAATGCAAAATCAATCTCTCTTCTTTAAAAATAGCAGGGAAATGTAGACACATGCACACACCCAACCACAGAACACTCAGCTGTAGTAGGCAAATATATTTAACAACTGTTGTTTTGTAGTAAATATTTATACATGATGATGTACATACAATTTAATAATAAATGAATTTAAGTATGTGCTAAAAAATTCTGATTCTTAGTAATGATGTAATTTTGAAAAAACATGATTTAATGGAGCATTTTTCCCTGAGTGATGAAAATAAATATTCAGAATATTGTTTTAAAGTATGAGATAATTGTATTTTATATCAACATACTGCCACTGAGGGGCACTCTTGTCTTGATTTAACATCTTTCTTTGCCTTACCTCTGGCCCAATCTAAATATAAAGAACTGTAAATGTACTTTCAAATGTAAGCTCAAAATTGTTCTTGAAAAACATTTATATTTCTGTCAAAGATATACAGGAGTTGAGGAAAATTGTAAGAACTGAAACTTATTTTGAGCGTTTCTACAGTGATTGGTTTGAAACTATTGCAATATTTAAGCAAACACTTTATTTACTACTTTAATTAATACCAATGCACATTGAATTTTCGGAGAGTTGAGTACCTTTTTTCTATTATTTCTGAATTTTACTGAGCCTTGCTGTTTTACAACCTTAACAAAATAAAGAATAATTTACTTTCTTTCCAATGATAGTAAATATGTACTGTATTGGTGTATGCTGTGGTATTATGCCTAACTCATACAGTCCATGTATTCCAAAGACAGGAGCATTTGCAATCTAGATAATTATGTCTCAATATTTGTGGATAAGTATACTACCCATTTGAGAATTTCAAGTGGTTTTAGATGGAAGTTAATACAAAATGTTAGGTGAAGTTGGAAGCATATGCTCAAATATTGAGAAGTCTTAAATCTGCCTTTGCAGTGAATTTAACCTGACACTTCTGTAAAAGAAGAGGGTCTGTTCTAAGATCTACTCAGAACTGTAGTTCTGTGTTTACAAGCTGCACAGTCATCCTAAAGAGAGACAGTTCAATTTTCTGGAGTCTTTCAAATCTCAAAACTGTCCCAAACTTGTCTCTGTCTAACTAGCATAATGTTCCTGTGGACTATCCCTGAAGCAGTGTTGTGCGACTATCTAATTAAGATGTGACCTCCGATGGTCGAAATTATTTTGCTTCATAAAAGAAGTTTGTATATCTTATAACGCTGCTCTTTTTTCTTTTCCGCAATCAGTCCTTCTGGAAATAGTAACTCTTGTTAATCTTTTGCTGTGAGAATCTGCAGGCCGACAATGTAACAAGGCAGCTTACTCCTCTGTAACTAACATTCTTCAAATATGTTGTCTTTAGAGAGATGCCTTAGTTTCCGACTCTCATGGTCGATTTTGAGTAAAAAAGAAAAAGAATTAAGTCAGCAATACACTGGAGTAAAGTGCTTCTATAGGCTAAGACTTTCATTCTGTATTGTGTATGACTGTGCAGCAAACTGAACAATGAACTGCTTTAAGAAAGTTCTAGGGCACACAGGTAGGCATTTCTCAGCACGTGTGTGAGAACTGAGCCACTCACATTTCAAATCCTTTGAAGACCTCTAATACAGTTTGAGTTTATGCTGGTTGAAAAGGAAAGGAGTGCATAGTGTGGGAGACATTCCCACCTTGCTGTCAGCCCGGAAAAAAATAAACCTGCTCAAGAATTATGCTTACTTGTCCTGGATTCATGGAGAAATTGCTACATGCAGGTGGCCCTTGTAGCACAATTCCAGCAGAACTTGGTAGGCAGGAACCTGTGGTGAAAGGTGGCTGAAAACTAGAATTCATACAGGCAGAGAGCAGAAGGCCTTTTCTAGAGATGGTCTCTGAATATCTTCTTTGTAGGGTTTACTGAAAGAAGAATACCTGAGGTAATAGAATCATAGAATGGTTAGGGTTGGAAGGGGCCTCAAAGATCATCTAGTTCCAACCCCTCTGCCATGGGCAGGGACACCCTCCAACAGATTATGTTGCTCAAAGCCTCATCCAACCTGGCCTTGAACACTTCCAGGGATGGGGCATTAACAACTCCTCTGGGCAACCTGTTCCAGTGCCTCACCGCCCTCAGAGTGAAAAGATTCTTCCTTATATCTAATCTAAATCTACCCTCTTTCAGTTTAAAACCATTACCCCTTGTCTTATCACTATATACCCTTGTAAAAAGTTCATCTCTAGCTTTCCTGTAGGCCCCTTTTAGGTACAAGAACGCTGCTATAAGATCACCCCAGAGCCTTCTCTTCTCCAGGCTGAACAGCCCCAACTCTCTCAGCCTGTCTTCATAGCAGAGGTGTTCCAGCCCTCGGATCATCCTCGTGGCCCTCCTCTGGACCTGCTGCAGCAGCTCCATGTCCTTCTTGTGTTGGGGACTCCAGAGCTGAACACAGTATTCCAGGTGGGGTCTCAGGAGAGCAGAGTAGAGGGGCAGAATCACCTCCCTTGACCTGCTGGCCACGCTGCTTTGGATGCAGCCCAGGATACGGTTGGCTTTCTGGGCTGCCAGCGCACATTGCTGGCTCATGTTGAGCTTCTCATCAACCAGCACCTCCAAGTAATTCTCCTCTGGGCTGCTCTCAATCCATTCTCCGCCCAGCCTGTACTTGTGCTTGGGATTGCCCCGACCCACTTGCAGGACCTTGCACTTGGCCTCGCTGAACTTAATAGTAGGAAGAATTTTTAAATCTGTATATTCACACTGTATTTTCTTTTTCTTAAATACTGAGTGTAATTGAACACCATCCTTAATCTAGGTCTTTGTTTATTCTTTTGGTTTTAAACTTATGCAAGATGCAAATGAAAGTCCTAAGCTCAGGAAGGGCTTCATTCTTATGGGAAGATTATATAACTGCCTTTGCTTTTCCAAAGACATCTTTTACACACGTCAATTAAATCTGAGTTATCCCCATCTTTTGCAAGCTCTTTTAAGTCATGTGTTGTTGCAAATGGAAACAGACATTTACAATCTGATCCTAGCCAGGCCAGTGGTCATATAAAATCTCTGTTTCAGACTGTAGAGAGCTTTAAAGCATGCTATTGTTATGTAGTCTCTGGAACTGTCCACCCTACTCATTTGTTCTGTTTCATCTCTGACATAAATTTGATAGGAAGGGGGCCATAATTACCTTCTCTTATATGTTGGTACAGAATTTAATCATAACTGGGTGCGCTACAAATGCTATGAAAATATAAATATTAAATCATGCTAACCTGCAATTTCATAAAACATCTCATTCTAAATTGGTAAAAAAGTGTTACTGGAGTTGTGTGTCTGGTCAGGTTGAATGCCTGATTTGTAATTTCTGACGCAAAAGAAATTCTACGCAGGTAGAATTTTAGGCACAGCCTGTATTAAAGTTGTTTTGTATAGGATTTTATAGATTCATTGAACCAATATTATCTGTGGCTCTCAATTTTGTCTGCCCAGCCTTT